GCCCCCTGTGCGAGGGTAGTCTGCGGTCACACTGCTTCGGCCCGCAGCCCCGCGGGGGCCTGGCCTGCCGCCGCGCAGCCCCGCGGCCTGGCTCCCTGGCCGGAGGTGGGGAAAAAATGTTGACGTTTCCTGGCCAGGCTCGCAGACCGCACTTCCGAGCCCGCTGCTCTCACTGGCTGCTGCGGCTGCACTTTTGATTTTCTCATGTGGGAGAAAATCCAGGTAAATTTTAGGTTTGGGGCTTTGTGATCTTTAACCCGCTTCGGAGAGTTGCAGACTTAACGTGAAGATACTCTACGAGATGATACGGTGTTTTAGGTGTTGGTATGAAAAAATTCAGCAGTTCGTGAAATACAGCACTTGTTTACTCAAATGTGTAGAAATTTACTGGCTTAATAAATTGTGATGTAACAGACCCACCGCTATAGGATCTTGAGCAGTTTCCTGAAAATTACAGGAAAGGGATACCTTTAATCGCAGTTTCTAATGCTTTTTTTTTTTTTTTCAGTTGTAGGAAATCTCTCTCGATTGACATAGCAGGGCTTTCATTCCTGTTGATTTCCTAGAGATATTTCTCCAAAGCCCCTGAAGACGAGTTGCTTCATAGCCCTGCACTTTATTCCGCTCTGTATTTTCCTAGAAATTTTAAAGAAGACTTCAGTTTTACTAGATTTTCTTAGTACGGCAGATATCTAAAAAAGTACTTTAAAGTATCCAAAGAGCAAACCTTACATACTTATATCAAATTGGTGATATAGAGGGCATTTTAAAAAATACTGAACAACGTGTATGAATTAAAAGTTTTCTCACGTGCAGTAGGATGTGAGAGCTCGGGCTTAGGGTCATTGTCTAAACCCTGGGTGCCTGAATCCATGTGTGGCCCGGGCTAATCATCAGTCAGCCTCATCTGTTAAATGGGAATAGTGAACTCTTCTTCTTTTGGTTGTCCTTAGGCTTAGAGTGAAGTGGTAAACCGGAAGTCTTGAAGTAATTGCTCAGTTAATTTCCTTTCATTACAAAAATACTTTGAGCGTAGGTAAGGTGCTCTGTGCCAGCCATTGGCTGAGACCTAGAAATAGGAACTAAGGAACACTGATCAGGTCCTGAAGCCTGAAGTCACTTGCATTTGAAGAGGAATTAGTATCTATACAAGCTCATGGTAATTAGCAGTGAAGGAGATTCTCTGTGCTGGTTTGGGAGTGTTTTTTCGAAATCTAGTGTAGTGTCTGTTAGGTAGTGGGTGCTATTATATATTCATTTAATTGAATGGGAACATAAATATGGGTTCTGAAGGGTAACTTCTGCAAATCAATGAGATTGATAACATGGGAAGTGTTTCTTGATAACCAGCTTGATTGTATTTGCCTCCTTACTTTGCAACTGGTTGAGAGTTTTATCTTGAAAATTACAATCTCTTCGCTAGACTACAAGGAAATGTTCATTATTAGTGAGGTATTCTTGGCTTTTGAATTCACTCAGTGAGGTTTGGAGCCAGGTCATTAGATGTGGGAATGTGGGAACCATGCTTCAGTCCTGTGAATGAGGCCAGTGGTGTCTGTCTGGGAAGATGGTTTTGTGGCCTAAGTGAGCTGATACTTGGTGTATAAATGGCCAGTGAACTAGAGCTGTCTCATTAATCCCAACTACAAGTGTTCCACAGAATGGGCCTGTTCTTAATTTGTAGGGGGGAATGCTGTTCTGTAATCAATAGTAGTCTGCCTTTCTCCTTTTATGAGGTACTGAGAATTGCATCCAGGGCCTTCACGCTCAGCTACATCCCAAATGGTGGTTTTTTTGTTTTGTTTTGAATTTGATACTGTGTCTTGCCAAGTTGCTTGCCTAGGTTGCGATCACACTTGGATCCTCCTGCCCCAGCCTCAAAGAGTGGTGGGATTACAGGCATGCCCCACCATGCCTAACTTGGTTTTGGTTTTCTCTTGGAAAAAACTTTAAATTTTATTTCCAGCTGCTGTCGGAGACCTTTATGTTGACAAATATTTATTGCATAATGACACCAACCTTGTTTGTGGAAAGAGAATGGCTGTGCTTACCAAAGCTCTGAGTGAAATTTGTTCTCAGACCCATCTCCATTGCCTGAATATTGCCATTTTCTTTCAGAATGGTCTGCTAGAGTATCTTTTCCCTTTCCCCGCATGAGTCACATGCTATAGGTCTGTTTTTAAAACAACTTTATGCTAAATTTACATTTGGGTAAGTTTCCTTTTGTTTTGAGTGTTTTATTCTTGACAGATCAGCTTGAAAGAAAGCTCTTATTGACCATTTTAATTCTACACATAATGAAGCAATCGGATGTTCGTTCCCGTTTTGTACTTTGCAAATGTTAGCTGAAGGAACCAAGTAAATACGGTCCACTAGAGGACTGCAGGGCGGGTAACTGATACAGAACATAGCTACCGTACAAAGCTGAAAATGCAAGTTTCTCAGTAAGGGAAAGATACTGGAATGAGGAGTTTACATTAATTCCCCCAAGAGATAAAGGTTTATACCAGGCAGATTTCAGTGCAGCTAGGAAACAGTCTGGACAATATTGGGAAATTGAATAATGCCTTTTTGGCAGTTTGGGTATAAACTGGTAAGGAGTCAGCGTTACTGCATTTTTTGAACCTGAGTAAACCATTGATGGGGAAGCATTTGACAGAAGCATTTAAATTACTTAATTGCTCCTGGTCACTGTCTCAGAGGGGCACTGTTCTTCCCACCTTTTCAAGCAGTAGGCTGTCTCTCGGCACAGGCGTTCAGTAGTAAGTCATTCGGCTTAAGAGGACACGCACTTGCAAGTGTATGGAAATGTGTCCATGACAGTTGCAGAGGGAACCTTCTGAACTTTACTACTGTATCATGAATACAGTAGTCTCTAAGCCCTTTTCCACCCTGGGAAAAGAAATGACTGGCAGTAATGGCTCTACAGAGTAATCAGTACCAAGTATTTGGAGAATTAAGTACATTTTCCTTGCTTTTTGGTTTTGTGTGTGTTTTAACTTTTATATTGAGGAAAAGCAGTTTACACAGTAGGGTATATGATGTTATTACATCAGGATCAAGACGTATAGATCTTAGTTTCCTAATGTTTCCACACCCTTTCTCCAGAGGTAACCACTGTTTCTTGCCATTTAATTTTTAATCCATTTAATGTAAGTGAAGTTGAGGAAATAAACAACATTTTTCTCCACTTTAATTCCTGTGTAATTATTTTAAAAGAACATGTTGTGATGCTGTATTTATCCAGATCTATTTTATTTTATTGTATTTTTTTTGTTCTGTTTTGCGGGGGTTGGTTTTTTGAAACAGGGTCTTGCTGTGTAATTCAGGCTGGCCTTGAACCCATCTATGTAGCCCAGCCTGGCCTAAAACTTGAGGGATCCTCTTGCCTCAGCCTCCCTAGTGCAGGGTTCCAGGCATGTGCCACCACTCTCAGTTTCCAGATCAATTTTAAGCCTTGTTATGTTTATAAAGGTTATTGCTTATCTTACACACATAGTAATTTAAAAAATGAATCAGCATGTAAATCTTGAGAAGGAATGCGTAACTGTTTAATGATAGTTACCTAATAGCTATTAAGTTGGCTTTTAGTCCCTCTTAAGTAAATATGTATAGAAGTCAAAATATACTGTTTTTCTGCTTTGAGAAAAAAAATTAAATATCACATTTTTCAGCTACTGAAATCACCGCTTTATACACTATTAACCAGTTGTTATTTTTTCTAAAGATGTTAATAATGAACTGGGAAACCAGTGAGTTTTGGTTGTCACTTTATTAGTTTCTTCACCGCGAGCAGCACAGTTAACTTCAGTGTATCTCGCTTCCTCATTTAGAAAATTTAGAAATGGGATGATACATTATCAGGTTATTCCAACACAGAAATCACGATTTCAGATGCTCAGTAATTTTTCTCCTTGGACAAATAAAAGGCAAACAAAGGTTAAAACATGAAATTCCATTATCAGAAACATGCCTGTAAGTGTGTGTATGTATCTCTGTGTCATTTCTTACAACTTAATATACGATCTGTTCTACCTCCCAAAAGTGGAAGAATGACCATCTTTCATAGATTACCATATTTTATTTTCCTTTCCCCTGTTTTGCACTTGAGAATGAAAGGGAAAATTTAGGATTACTTAATATATGCAACTTTAACTTTGCCAAAATTCGTTTTAGGGAACTTTAAAATAAACACACAACATGATTGAAAAGTATGGTGAATGTTTAAATTTTTTAAAGTTTATTGCAGAAAAAGATCCCTTTCTGTTAAGTCTCCCTCAGAGAACTCTGTCACTTTGAACACACTTATCCCATCATTCTAGTCATTTCTGAAGAACTTGTATGAGTGTTTAGTTGCCCTGCTGTGGCGGCCTCAGTATTCTCAGTTGATCAGAAATGTTTTACATTTCAGTGTCGTTTTGACTTTGGAGAAAAACCAAACTCGTACAGTGCCAGATCCAGTGGAGCAAGGGGTGAGAACACGGTACGGGAATGTTCGTAGGAGCCTGCTTTTATCTTGGATGTCACTCACAGCAGCAGTCACCGTATTTTTACCATACCTGTAAAGACACTCACAAAGAGCACTTCCAGAGCTGCTTCCGAAAGTGGCAAGAATGACGGGATAAGTGTGTTGGAAGTGGGGGAGTATTTTGAGGAAGATTAATGGCAGTGTGTCTGTTTTAACATTTTTGAGAATTTTTTTATTCATATCATTGCTATGATTGGAGTTTTTAATTCCTGTAGAACTTGTTTTATATAAAAATACATCTCTTTACTTAATCATCAGAGGCATTTTGAGTATGATCTTTAAAGACTCAGACACTTTAAAGTGGATTCCCTAGGTTCAAATCCCATTTCTGGAACTTGCACAGCACTATGACTTCCAGCAGCTTACCTAACTCTTCTGTACCTTGGTTTCCTTATCTAAAATAAGGATAAATAGTACTTTCCTCAAATCCTTCACAGTGGTGTTAAGAGCATTAAATGAGTTATTACATGTTAAGAACCAACAAGAATGCTTGGTAAGAAGTAGCTCCTACAGTGTATTGAAATGCTATTGTGAAGTTAAAGTTATATTCCTAGAGAAGTTTGGAAATATATTTGTTACTAATGGCCCTAGTTTCTTGATGGAAATTGGCTCTCTAGAATGGGTTATGACAGTATAAGATGTCAATGGTATTCATGACTTCTTTCAGGATTTGAGTCACAATCTGAAATTTTCATTCATTTTTATCGCTGAGTAATATTCCATTATATATTCATGTGTATATCATGGTTTGTTTATCTGTTCACCTTTTGATGTACATGTGGTTATTTGCATTCAGTTATCTTAGGTAAATTCCTAGGGGTAGAATGGCCATGTAATGTGGTAGATGTTTATTTTACTTCGTAAGAAATTACCAAACTGTTTTCTAAAGTGACTGTACCATTTTATATTCCCTGATGTATAAAAGTGCTAACTGTTCTACATTCTTGCCAGTATTTGGGGTGACCATTATTTTTAGTTTGAGCCATTCTGATAGGTCTTTAATAGTTTCTAATTGTGGCCTTAATTTGCATTTTCATGATGCTTAAAGATGCTGACCATCCTTTAATATACTTACTTAAAAATAAAATTATCTTTTCTGATCCAGGGCTACTTTGATTTCTTTTTTTTTTTAAGAAGTGTTGAAATTTCAAATTTTACATTAGACGTGTTCTAATGTAACACATGTTCAGTGTTCTTAATCTATTTTGAATTATCTTTTGCAAATGCTGTGAGATATGGTTGAAGATTTTTGTTGTTTGTATATTGATACTCAGTTTTTCCAGACTATCATTTTCCCAAGCTGTCTTTATATCTTTGTCAGTTTTAATTGTTCTTATGAATGTGGGTCTACTTTTTGTACTTTCCCTTGATCTAATTGTATATATTATCTCTAATAGTACACAGCTTTGATTACTGTGGCTTTACAACAAGCCTTGAAATCAGGCAGTGTTAGTCCATCTACTATGTTCTTTTTTAGTGTTTTGGTTATTACAGGTTCTTTGCACTTCCATATGAGCTTTAGATCAGCTCCTGATGTTTTGGAGAAAAGGCCTGCTGAGGTTTTGATTGCAATTATATTGAATCTGTAGCTCAATTTGGGGAGAATTAATTAGTATTTTAATGGTATGAGTGGTCTAGCCCTGTAAAAGTCTTCTTAAAGTAATGAAGCTTTTTTACATCTTTCTCATTAATATTTGGTAGTTTTCAGCATACACATCTTTCATTAGATTTCTTTTTTTTTTTTTGGTTTTTCTCCGGTACCGGGAACCGAACTCACAACCTTGCGCTTGCCAGGCAGGCGCTTTGCCGCTGAGCTAAATCCCCAGCCCCTTTCATTAGATTTCATAAGATTAGATTTATCCTTAGTTATCACAAATTTATTGAGGCCCATCAATTTTTATTTCAATTTTTGATTGTTACTTATAAAAATGCAATTGATTGTACAATCCACTGCATTTTATACATGGGAAAACAGTTTTACTTCTTCCTTTCCAATCTGGGTGCCTTTTTCTTTTTTTTTTTTGCTCGATTGCATTGGCTAGAACCTTCCCTACAATGTTGAACAGAAGGGGTAAAAGCAGACATGCTTGTGTTGTTCATTATCTTAATGGAGGTACTAGACATTTTTCAGTGTTGTTGATCAGACTGAGGAATTCCCTTCTATTCTTAGTTGCTATTTAATCAAGAATAGATAATTTGTTAAAATTTTTTTCTGTCTACTAAGATGCTTACACGTTTTTTTTCTCCCTAAGTTCATATATAAATTTTTTTAATTTTTATTTTAAATAAAATAGTACAAGAAAAAAAGAACAATAGCAAAATACAAACAAAACAAAGCAAGGACATTAAAAATGGTATGGGGTTTCAAACCAAATGATAGGGATTAACAGTGGTTGTTATATTACATATTGTTATCTTCAACAAAGTTGCTCAGATTACCAGATGTAAGAATAGAAGATGGATCAGATCATTAAAGGGAATAAGAAAATAATAATTTCAAAGAACATTAGACACAATACATAGTTTCACTAGGCAGGATTGTAGGAATTCACCAATGAATATTATACTGCAAATTGTTGTCACGTAAATTGTTCAGATTACCAGATCTAAGCATGCAAAATTGGTCTAAATATAAAAAAAAACCTTTTATCATTAACTGTTCCCCTGAACAAACCATCAAACACCAGCAGTACAGTTATGCCGCCGTTTCCAGTGTGCTAATACAGTGAATCACATTTGACTTTTGAATGTGAAATCAACCCTCCATTCTGGGCTAAGCCCCTGGGTCGTGGTGTAGTGTCCTTTTATGTATTGTTGGCTTCCATTTACCAATATGGTGTTAAGGAATTTTGTTAAGGAGTTTGTTGAAGTGTGTTGGAGTGTTAGTGTCTAGTATTTTTTTCTGGTTGTATCTTTGGATTAGTATAATGTCAGTGTGAAACACTGTTGGGAAAAACTCTCTTTTTCAGATTTTTGGCAGTTTGGAAATTGGTATCATGCCTTCCTAAGTGTTGGATAATTATCAGTGAAGCCATCTGGACCTGGAAGATTTTTAACTGCAAATTCAATTTCTTTAATCAGTGCAGAGATTGTTAGGTTATCTGTTTCTTGTACTTTGATAATTTGTATCTTTCATCTCACTTATCAAATACAGAGAATTTGCCTGTTTCATCTCATTTATCAAATATAAGCATAAAGTTGCTTAAAAGTAATGGCAAGTTTTTCAAAATGTTTTGTGTTGTTATGTTCTTTTGATTAATAGACCCTTTTATTTTTGTGAAATCACTGCTTTTGTACCTAATAATTTTTTAAAGTCTCTCTGACATTAAAATACTTCAACTGTCTTTTGATTAGTGTTATCATAGTGTAATTTTCTCATTCTTTTACTTTTATTTGTAGCTTATATTTAAAATGTGTTTCTTAAAGGCAGCATATAATAGGACCTTTTTGTTTTTGTCCAGTCTGTTTCCACATTTTTATTAGGGTTTCAGGCAATTTTCATTTAACACAACTAGCATTATGGTTGTGTTTATAAGACTATGATTTTGCAGTTTGTTTACAGTTTGTCCCATCTGGTATTACTACTGTTTTCTGTTGCCTGTTCTATTGAGTATCTTTTTATCGCCTTTGTTAGCTCCTACCAGAGAATATTATTTGACTGTTAAGAATATCCATATTTCATTGAATAGACCCCCCAGATTTGTGACACACTGGACTTAAATAAACTTTGTAGTTGCTTTAAATTTATTAGCTGTGTGACTTTGAATAAGCTGACTTCTCTCAGTTTTCCCTTCTGTGAAATGGGTATAGTAAAACCTAACTAGCTACAGATTAAAATGTTTTAAATACTTTGAATAGTGCTATGTTCATATGGTTCAACCTTCAAAAGGTATAAAAAGACTTAGTATATACTGTTCCATACTGTTTAGATTTTTAAAATTCTATTTGTATTGGATAATATAAGTAAAATAACTTTCAAAAACCACTCAGAATGAAAAGGGTTTATTCCTTACAACTGCTGAAAACTTTAAGATCTAATTTCTTCAGTTGTTGATATGATTTGCATTTTTAAAAAAGTTACTGTGTTTTTTTCTATTTGTGGTTTATAGTGAAAAATAAAAATGTTTTTTCTCAGTTGCATAAGGACTTTTCAGTTTGACTTAAGAACAGAAACATGGCTTGTGAAAGCGCTTTGATGCCCCGATCTCTGTGTGCCTTTCCCACAGGTTTGGAACCCCATCATGGCCGTCACTCAGTTCCGGTTATTTAAAGTGTGTACCTGCCTCGCGACAGTATTCTCGTTTCTAAAGAGGTTGATATGCAGGTAAACAAATTGTATTTCACACTGGCCTGTTTATTTCCTCATTGGTTCTAGGTTCTTCCGGAACTTCAGAAAGGCAGAAGAGATGCTGTTTACACTAAATCCTTGATTATAATATTCTTTCATTAATAGTTTTTAAAAATATCTTTCCTCCAGTTGAGATTTAGAAGTTAGAGATTTATTTGTGTTCTTTGAAATGACATGCTAAATACTATAGAATTTCAGAAATAACCTGGTTTTTGTTACAGTCTTCCCAGAGTTTTTTATGTATTGTTTCTTTATTGGACTATATTAAGGTGGTTACGTGAAATTAAGCATAAGTATCTGTCTGTACTCGCATTATGAATGTTATATTTATTTTAAAAACTTCAACAGAGAAACCTTATAAAACAATGTTTCTTAAGGAACGTTCCAGAAAAAATGGGTAGTCAGAGTAGGTAATTTACTTCAGTAGATTATCTGTAGATTCCAATTCTGTCAGTCTTATCAAATCACCATACCCTAGAGTTACAATTTATGACCTGTGCACTGAGGTGCCTCGGACTTCTCATAACATATATGGGGCTGTCGTAAGATATTTTAAATTTTCCAGTGAAACACAGTGACAGTCAACATCTGTTGAACACTGCAGACTCCTAACTCAAGGCACTTCACATTTTCACCAGTAGATCCCGCAGTGTACCTTAGCGTGGATAGTTTTTAATGCTTGAGATGAGTTTTGGTTTACTTGTATTTTTGTGACATCTTTGCAAAGGTAGGTTTTAGGTTGTCATTAAAAGCAAGTACTGCATCACAATTAATGTAGAACAGAAGATGAAGAAGATGGCAGCCCCCAGTCTGCTTCCACAGCTTGAGAAGCTAAGACTTCCAGCAAACACACACACAGCAGTAGTTAGAAATTTTCCTTTTCATTCACAATAGAAACTCTACATTTTCTTTAAATTTATTGTATATTCTTTTTCAAGTGGCTGGGAAGCCTACTTAAAGTATATGTAAGTATTAAATTATTTGGGCTAACTACTTAATCTGTGGAACTGTTAGGTATTTCTTTTGTCCAAACTAAAGTAGAATAAAAGAGGAAGTACATAGTAATCACTTTATCTCATTATTAGGTATGATTTAGAAGTTGCATCCGACTATTCTGTTCCCAGCCTATAGTCCAGTGCTTAGTTATATGGACACCTTGCCACAAGGGAGGCTAGAAAATGCAATACCTGGCTACGTGGCCTTTGAGAACTCCTGAAACTTCAATAATTAAGTGTCATTGAATTCATTACTTGAACTAGAATGGCCTAGGATTAAAAAAAAAAAAAACCTAGGGCATTGCAGTAGGAATACATGGATGAACTAGAGATGATCACTGGAAGGAAATTCAAGAAGGAAATGAAAACTTTAAGTGGTTGACTGGAAATTACCCAAGAAGGTAGTATTTGAGAAGTAGAACAAATGGTGAACAAGGTATTGAAATCATCAGAAAATGAATGGCCAGAAGTTCACTAGGTAAAGTAGAATAAAAGAATATGAATTGCCAGAAATACAAAGATTAAACGAAGCACTGTGTTAATAGTGGTTATAAACTCTGAGTGTTCACTTTTTGTATCTATATTTTCCAAAATTCTGCTCAATGTGGATTAGTTTTAGAGTAAGAAATTTTACTTGATTTTAAAATATTAAGGACTTTCCTGTTGTCACTATGTTTCTGTTTTCAGTGTGAATATATTTAAGAATGATTATTCAGTTTTAAGTAAAACCCAACCCTTGTTAGGATCAGCTTCTACAAGGTGTCAAAAAGAACTAGAGCATGTATTATAAAATGCCAGGCTATGTCATAATTTTTTTTTGCTGACATTACCATTTTTAAATTTTTTTTCATTTTTAAAAGAACAAAAGCATATCAACAAACAGACAAAACAACACAAAAATAAAAGCAGTACAGAATTTCAGACTAGGTGATAGGAAATTAACAATGGTTGTTGTATTACATATTGTTATCTTCAGATTGGTTACTCAGTTAAACAAATATAGGCATGTAAGACTGATCAATTAAACATTAACTGCTCCTTTCCATAAAGCAATACAAATTAGTAGTACAATTATCTTAGCTATCTAGTGTATGCATACATACTTATTTTTTTCTCCTCTTTCTTTCTTTTCTCTTTTCCCTCACCCCAATTGTTCTTTCCTTTTGAGCAGTTTCTTTCCCTTTCACAGTATCTATTCTACCTTTTAGATTTTATTTATTCTTTCAGGTTTGAAATTTTGTAATAGATTATAGTAGTTCTCTCTTTATCCTTTAAACAAATAAAATGTAGCTTCTATACTTCTAGTACACATAATTGCCTTTACAAGTTAGCTCTAAATGGATGCTTTACAGATTACAGGAAATGAAGCAGAATCACTAACCATTTGTAATAGTTGCCATGTCTTCAATGTCTTGCTATGTAGCAGGCACTGCCTAGGTACTTTAAATGTGTTTAGATCCTCACAGGCACCTTACAAAAGTTTGAATACTGGTTTTTTGTAGATGTAGATGTTAAGGCTGAGAGGTTAGGTAATTCTAACTAGATTCAGGAGAAGTAACATTGAACACCATGGGTGACATAGACTCTGCAGCCCATGTTCTTAATAACTGAGTGAAGTAGATCCTGATTAATGTACTTTTCGTCCTAATCCTTAAAAGTCAGTTGCAGTTCAGTTTAATCCGGTGATTTTTAGACTTTTTAAGTAGTTTATTAGCTGGTCTGAGCAAGGAGCTTGGTGAGGAAAGCACGAGAAGCTAAGCCACGCAGGTTGCCGTGGTGGAGGTGCCCGAGCTTTCCCTGCAGAGCCCGCGGTACTCCAGTGAGTGGGATTTGGAACTGCCTTGCAGTTTTTGTTTCTGACTTTGTATTTTTCTTGAGTTTGTCTGTAGTTCTAAGCCTCCACTCAAGCAGCATCTACACTGAACCTGCCCAAGACTTTAATGACATTCACATGATGTCTACATTCGTGCTCTCTCATTACAGCTTAATTATTAAAATCAGTAATGATTTGTAAGCCTGGAAAATACTGTCTGTAATCCTTTTGACTCATGCTTATTTTGATGGTTCTTGAAATAAATTATGTCATACTTGTTCTAGATCTGGCAGAGGAAGGAAATTAAGTGGAGATCAAATTACATTGCCAACTACCGTTGATTATTCATCAGTTCCTAAGCAGGTAATTTTTAAATTTTGTTTTGAAAAATTGAATATGTATTTCAGAACAGTATTTTTCAAACTGGATTGCAAGTATGAGTCACAAAATTAATTTGATAGGATTTTTTTTGCAATTTGTAGTTGTAAAATTCATATTATCTTGACTCTGCTGTTTTCTGTTTCTCCCCGTGGTTTCAACTGTTCGCTATTCTTTTTTGAAGCACTTTTATATTTAAAAGTCTTAGATAATTCCACCAGTTATATCATCTAGGGATTGACATCTACTTATTTTCCACATGAAGTAAGATTTGTTGGTTCTGTGCATGCTGAATAATTAATTCTGGGTTGTTTCATGAGCATTTTGAATATTACGTTTTAAGATACTGCCTTACGTAAATGCTGTGGGGATACTGATGTTTTTGTTCTGTTTTATCAGGTAGTCAGTTTGGTTAGGTGGAAACTTTAGTTGTAAGTTCAAGTTCTAATGTCAGTTTAATTCTCAAAGCATTTGTTTTTGTTTTGCTTTTTATTTTTTGCTTTTAATTATTGCAAAAATGGTCAGTGTAGAACAAAATAAAAGAGAACAGAACATATCAGAATGTGAAAGTATGACTCTCAGTGAAAGTATTTTTTAAACTTTTGATTCTGTGTGATTTGAAATGTACATTTTCTGTGAGTTAAAATTTGAAAACCAGTAGTATTTTAGAAAGCCCATTTTTCTAATAGTTGCTGACCATGTTGATCAATTGAATGTAGACAGATGTGGAAGAGTGGACGTCCTGGGATGAAGATGCTCCCACAAGCGTGAAGGTGGAAGGAGGGAACGGAAATGCGGCCACACAGCAGAGCGCTGTGGAGCAGCTGGAGCCTGACTACTTTAAGGACATGACACCTACTATAAGGAAAACTCAGAAAGTGTGTGGGAGATCGGTGCCTTTGAGGGTTAAACTTCTCAAATTCCTATAGTTAAAGTTACACAATATGATTATTATTATTCATTAGAAAATCTATTTGTGATTATCATTTTGTTTTCTGTTATGTTAAATAAGTTTTTTATATTCAGATAGCCTAGACATAGATCTATTAAATTATATCCCCCAGGCTTTTAATGTTATAGCTAAGCATTTATTGAAAGCCCATTGTATCTCAGATTCTAGGCTCCAGGCTGTGTGTGAGAGACTAAGTTGAGTATGATAACAGTTCTAACAAGTTCACAATTTGGTGATACCTGCAAACTGCTAAGTATATCCCATTGTTTATAACCATTATAAAAGTGATGCAGGGCTCTGAGAACCTTGTGTTCACCTTAACCATCCCACCTTATTTAATCTTTTTTGAGCTGAATATAGAGGATCACTTTAGAGATGCAGGAAATTACTGGTAAAAGTAAAATGGCTGAGTGTTTTCCTTTTTATCAAAATGGTACATGTACTTTTTAAAATCAAACAATATAAAAGTACAAATGGAAGCATGACAGACTTCTATCCCTTCCAGAAGCAGCCACTCAGTAACTTTCTCTATTGGGGTTTTCCTAGTGCTTGCCGGAATATCTCTATATAATGCATACATTTTTCCATTTGATTTATCAGTTACAGACATTGTCCTGTGATGCTATACTATGATAAGTGACGATTTATTTCATGCTACCTTTAACTCTCTTCCAACTTCTTCACATAGTGTTATTCTTGTCTACTCTGTTTCAGAGAAACACACTTAGTGCTTCATTTGTTATTCTGTCGAACATGGAAAATAAGTATTTATTTCATACTTCATAATAAATTCCCTACCCTCTTCTAACCTAGTCAGTGTCAGCTATACATTTATTTTTGTATTACCAAAGTTGACAGCATTTACATTCTATTACATTGAATTGTACAAATGTCTTAATACTAAAAAGTATAAAGTTGTGTATTTTTTCAGGGATCCTTTAAATTGTTCAGTAGATGAATACCTTGTGTTGTGGAAGTGTGTTGTTGTTTTCCATAGAAATTTAGTAAACATTCATAGTGCCTTATTAAATTAATTAGGATGGAAATACTTTTAATAAAGTTTATAAGATATTAAGCAAAATATTCTAATACTATTAGCCTGAAAGACTTAATTATTTATAGATACCTCATTTTTGGCAGGCTATTATTTATTTAAAGATAATTATTTAGCTGAGTGTGATGGTGCATGCTCATAATCCCAGCACTTGGGAGGCCGAGTCAGGAGGATCATTGTGAGTTCAAGGCCAGCCTGGGCTACAAATTGAGCTTAAGGCCAGCCTGGACTGCATGGTGAAATGCCGTCTCAAAAATAAAAGAAAGGAAAGAAGGAAGGAAGGAAGGAAGAAAGGAGGGAGGGAAGAAAGGAGGGAAGGAAGGAAGCAAGGAAGGAAGGAGGGAGGGAAGGAAAGGAAAGGAAAGGAAGGAAGGGAAGGAAAAAAAGTTATAAGTACCTAATTGTATTTGGAAATCCAAGAAAAGTAAGGAGAGAGGAAAATTGTAATCTGCATTTTTCTTTCTAAAAGTGCTGTGCCCGTCTTTGTAGTATGAAATTGATTTGTGTGACAGCTACTTGGAAAGTTTGGTACTCTGTACAGACTGGTTTTTTTCTTGTTTTTACATTGTAAATTTTGAAAAGAATGCATATTTTAAGTAATTACAAGATGCAATGGTCATTTCTTTTTATATAGCTCAGTGTAAAGTATCCCTTTAATCCTACTTCAACTGATCTTGCAGATTGTTGTTAAGAAGAGAGAGCCCTTAAATTTTGGCATCCCAGACGGCAGCACAGGTTTCTCCAGCAGATTAGCAGCTACACAAGATATGCCTTTTATTCATCAATCCGTAAGTATATTAATGGGAGATAGGTAATAAAGGTTTCGTTTGTCTTTTTTGTTTTTTAAAGGAAAGGAAAAAACTCTTAAGTGCATTGAACATTATATTTCTGTCACTTTGAAACATGTTTAGCAGTTTACAAAAAGTCAACCTGGAATTGCACTAATCCTGACATATTGTGAGATTGTAAACTACATCAGAGACTAAGATCAGGGACCCATGGTACACAAGAAAGAGAGAAAACGTGCTATGTAGGCAGTAAGAACTGGAAAAGATCGCCCCTGAAATGACTGACCGTAATATTCATAGCAAGTTAGAATGTGTGTTGTTTCTTGCTTTGTTCTGGCTGGAAGTGAGACCCTGCAGGGCCCTGTGCCTGCCAGGCCAGTGCTCCCACCGAGCTGCATCTCCAGCCCAGCAGCGTGTTAGTTTGGAGTTATATTTTTGTTCTCTCATAGAGCATTTTTACATTTAAATTATGATTTGATTTAAAGCGTATTTGACTTAAAGTGAAACTCTTTAAAGCTGAAAAAATACTGCACAGTGTAGACTGAAGTTCTCAATCTTAGGGGCACAGCAGAATCAGCTTGGGAGCTTTTTAAAACAAACACCCCTGGGTGTGGTTGTGCTTGCATGTGATCCCCACACTGGGAGGCTAAGGCAAGACAGTCCAAGTGTAAGCCCTGCCTGCATATCTTTGCAACTTTGGGAGATCTGTGTCAAAATAAAAAATGAAACTAGAATAAGGTGCTGGGAAGGTACTCAGTACTGCATAAGGCTCTGACTGTAGGTGCCAATGCCAGAACACAAAACAAAACAAACCCCCCCCACGCATACCTAGACTGTTCCTCAGACTCAAGCTTAAGCAGAAATGTCATTCATTTTATTATTTATCTCTTGGGTAGCCACCCCAGATTCACTGACTTTAAACATAAGAGACATTTATTGTCTCATATTGTTTCTGTGTGTCTGGAATCCAGGGCCACTAAACTGGATGGCTCTGGCTCAGGGTGCCCGAGGCTTGACTAGGGCTTGACTCACATTGGAGGGATCCTTTGAAGCGGCCTCGCTCCCGTGGCTGGCAAATTCATGCTGGTGATTGGCTCAAATCCTCAGTTCCTTGCCGAGGATCTCTGCGTGGGACTGTTCAGTGTCCTTACGGCATAACTGCTGACTTTCCTAAAACAAGAGGCCCAAGAGAGAGCAAGCTAGGTCATGAGATACCACAGTGCATTCTCAGGCATGGTCTTACAAGGGTATGTTGTCACTGTCATCTGACTTTTTCACTAGAAGGCGGTCTAAATCCAGGTGAAGGGGAGACGAATTAAGCTATACCTTTTAAAGGAAGGAAAGTGAAGGAGTCTGGGGACATATTTTTAAATCGCCACATTTATCTGTCCTATGAATCTTCTTTATGGTAACTGCACAGGTGCTTCGGAGGCCCTTTTCCCCAGGAGATCCCTGTTCATGCATGTTTTAAATTCATTGCTCAACAGCCATTCCCAGTAATGCACTCCCTGTGTTAGGTGCTAGTGATGCAGAGGTAAATAAGCAGAAAGGCAGGGTTCTTACCTCAGAAGAACGCATTCTGCTGGGGGAGGCGTAACTGAGTAAATGATCATACACCTAATTACAAACTTCAGTAACAAACTGCAGTTACTTGATGCTGTGACAGATAGTAACTTTATAGGTACGTCTCTGAATTGTGTAACATCATACTGGTTAATGTTTTCTATTTCTCAATCTTAAACTTTATTCATGTACATTTGATCCACAGTAGTAAAGTGGTTCAATCCTGCCCATAGAATTAGTCCAAACTGAAATTATGTTATTGTAATTGTAAAATTTCTCATTGTAAAGCTGTCAACATAGAGAGCCACTTACAGAGTTGGAAGGGGTAAATACAGTACATGTGTTCCGTGCTGTTCCTACCTATTTTCCACCCAAGCCGACAGCGTTGGGAGGGGCTGTGATTGCATATGAGAATGGTTATCTACTTGACTTCATTCTCTGTACCAAAAGTATCATACCATTCTATAATTAGATTTTTTGAAACCAAACAGTATTTTTCTCCTGAAATTCATCATTTGTATTGTGGGAACTCCTTTTATACTAGTGATATTATTTTTTTCTGGCACCTTTTATGTTTTTCAGTTTGTTCTATAATTTGTTTTGGATATGCTTGATGGGCAGATGTTTTTACTTTTTATGTAGGCAAATCTGTCTTATCCTTTTTGTGTAGAAGGTCATCTCTACTAAAGATGTGACCCTTTTCAGTGGTCCTACTAGTTTTAAATTTTTTTATATTGAACTCTTATTTACATAACAGCCAGACACCTGAGTGGAAAAACAGGACAACTATTATAAATGGAAAATTTAGGGCAGCCCACTCAGGCCCCCTTCTGTCCCTCAATTGGATAGACACTTTCTTTCCCTCAATAAATATATTCTCCTCTTAAAAAAAAAAAAGAAATAAAAAGAAAATTTACAAACAAGATATAGATAACCTGGTAATATTAAGAAAACTTTGATCTTACTAGTTCTTGAAGAAATTCAGTCAGTCTTAGCAAATTAGCCAAGGTAAAATAAGAAGGCCAATATCCGTAGTGACAAAGGTACAAACAAAGAAGACTTGTACCAACCTCTCAGGAGTGTGAATTGCTACAGCATATCAAGTCATTTATACTTGGTTTCAGTTGTTTTAGTGATGCCTCTTTTCTTTATCTACTTTTAGAAATATATGGTAAAGAAGATAATCAGAAATAATTTTTACCAGAGGATGGTATTACATATGATCAGGGGAAGAAAATCCAAAAAATTCATATTTCGGGCTAAGTACTCAAAACAAATCTGTGCACATACTGGTACCAGTTATTTTACACATGGTATTGTCACACCTGAGTATCCTAGAATGGTCATTCTCACTCGTTCTTGAGAGGAAAGAAAATGGCCATTTAGCGGTCTGGCTTGGGAGATAGTGGAAGGTATTGACCAACCTGATGATCAGGTATGTAGGACAGGGAGAGGGAAGCATGAAGTAGAAATAGGGGTAAGCTTGCCTGGCTTGTCATTGTCACCTGGACTGGAGACCGGCCGTACCACTGGAAAAACACAAATTGTGTGTACTTAGATGGAGATGAGCATGCTGGCTAGGCAACTTCTCAGCCCATGTTATAGTCAAGCATTTCTAATTAGGTCTGGGGCCGGTCAGTCTCTTTTCTTCTTTTCTCTGTGCCTTTCCTCTTTTGAAAAGAGAAACAGGAAAAAAATCTGTTCTTGTCTATTCCAAACTAGGTAAGCAAAAGTAGAAAATTAAATATAAAAGGATACCCCATAAAATGTAAGAGGAAAGGTAGACTTGGCCAGGAGTGATGGCCGGAAAGTTGTGCATTACTAGGAATCCTGCAGTTGTAGGCAAACCAGGACGAAATCATCTTTGCCTGTACAGGACTTAGCATGGGAGTTGAGACACCTTGGGAGAGTGATGGGTTCTCAGTTGTGTTTTTAAAGATATTCTTGATGGCTTTGTGGGGAAGGGAAGGTTCTGCTATCTTACTTTGGCTTTATTTTTCACTGTAGTCTGAGTTAGGCGACTTGGATACCTGGCAAGAAAATACCAATGCGTGGGAAGAAGAGGAAGATGCAGCCTGGCAAGCAGAAGAAGTTCTGAGGTATTTGAGTGATATTTACATTACAACGCGAGTAGAAGAACTAGATTGGTTTCCTGTTGAGTTTAAGGTCAAGGAAGGCAGTTCTGCCAAATGTTACTTCTTCATTCTTTGTCAGGTGAAACATCCTCATATCATAGATAATATGGACTTGCTATTATTTTATATGACTAAGAATAAAAAATAATAACCTTATTGATGGCGTGCAAAATCTTTTACATATATACCATACTGCAGTCGTGATATACCCTCCTGTGAAGGGGAGCTACCATTATACTGTGTGTTCTTCTAGAGCAGAAGTTATAACTGTTTTCATTTTTCATTGCTGAGTATAATGCCCAGCACTACACATTTGAAATGAAAATTTATGTAGCGCTTTACGTCTGTACATACACCTTAATTGATGTGTGTAAATGCCCTATGAAGCAAATAAGTCAAAAGCTACAGAAAGGTAAATGCTACTCTGCAGGTTTTAAAATTCATTTTTGTTAGTGGTTCTTTCTTTGTTTTTGTGAGCAATAAACTGAGTTGTTGCTACTTGGACATTAAGTCCGAGTAAAGAGAAAATTGATTTTGAAGAGCTTGTGACTATGATCACTGATGAAAACTCATATTTAAATGTCTAAATTACTTATGCATTTTTGAAAAGTATATAGTAAAATGCAGTGATACGATTTTTTTTTATATTTTATTTTATTTTTCTTTGGTCTTTTTGTGACAGGGTCTCGCTATGCAGTTCAGGGTGGTGTTGAACTCACTTTGTAGCCCAGTCTGGTCTTGCACTCACAACAATCCCTCTGCCTTAGCCTCCCAAGTGCTGGGATAACAGGCAGGTGCCACCATGCCTGGCTCAATTGTTTTTATATTTTAAAAGTAAGGCAGGCCAGGAGTATAGCTCAGTGGCACAAGCACCTGCCTGGCAAGTGCAAGGTCCTGAGTTCAATTCCCAGTACCAATAAATAAATAAAAGTAAGGTAATTTTATAGAAAATTAATTACCTTGTCTGTGTTTCATTTTTGTATTTTGCTTTCTTGTCTTTGTTGGTAAATTACAACTGTTTTTAACAGCCAGCAGAAAGAGGGTCAGTTAAGTAGCTGGAAGTTTGGGGTGATTTTTTTTTTTCCTTTTATCTGGTTTTCAGCATGTATGCTTTTGTTTTGAAAGTAAGCAAAGTTGTGAGAATTTTTAATACTTAGTTCTTGTTAAAAAATTCTGAACTACAACATTTATATTCAAGGAGCATCATAAAAGGACACATTCTTTAAAAAATTAAGGTAGAGAAGTCAGTGCTTTAGAAAATTTGGGGCATTCTAGTGATTATTAGTGTCATTAGCCTCAACGGTAAAGGAAACAAAGAGATGTTCATTTTGAATTGGTAATCTTAACGATAGTACTGTAAAGTTCGTGCTGTGAGCTCTCAAATATCTTAACATTGAGTGCATCAAGACCTCTTCTGTCCCGTTCTTTTGTTCCCTAACAAAACAAAAATGAAAAAATGTTTACATTACAGTGTCTTGGGAGAGTGAGATTGTTAGTCAACGATGGCCCTACTTCATGCTGAACCAGTACAGACAAAGGGATATGGGAGCTTCCATGTTATTAGTACACCCAGAATAACACTGAGCATTGTTAAGCTGTGTCTGTGTTCGTACTATCTTACTGTCTTCTTCCAGTCCCCACTCTAAAATACTCCAGTATTTGGGGCTGGGGATTTAGCTCAGAGGCAAAAGCGCC